TAACTATGAGGGGAATTTACATGAAATACAACATATATAATGCCACCTGGGACCTGCACAGACAAGAAAAGTATATTTTAACCCTGAACAAGTTTTCTAGCATTTCGAAAGGGGTGTGTGTGATTTTTTTCAATTTTTGTGTTTATAGGTCTACTTATAGGTTATTTTAATCCCAAGTATGAGCATGAATAAGGCACATAACACTACCCAGGGTTTGCAAATTGTTATTTGAGCAAAATAAGATTATAAAAGCATTCTTGACTTTTTATAGAAACACGTTTTCCTCGGTATAGTTGGAAGGAGACCTTAGAATTTTTCGTTTCATAGAGTACTGATTGTTTTGTCTTCATGTAACATGTTGTTTTTTTGTTGCACGATTTCTATGCACCGTGTGAAGACACAATGAAAATGTATGTAGGTACAATGTATTATGTTGTCTTCGACTATTTTATAAATTGCCAACAAAAGGACCGTACAAAAAGCTCTGTTGGCGAAATAAACACTAGGTTAGTAGGTAAGTTAACTCACCATGACAAAAACGTGAAGAAGAAAACAGTACCTTATCTGAGTATCGTAGAGTAGGTTCTTCGGCCAAGTAGGAATTGGTCTGCACTGGTAACAACAGTCCTAGTTGCAATGCTTCTCTTTCTCGGTTATTTTCGCTCCCTTCTCAAATTATAATCAGCTCTATCATTCCAACAAAGGAGCAAGAACATGCTCGAACCACTCAACGACAAATTATGACGCAACAGATAATCCAAAGAGGCTTGAAATTATACTATTAAAAGAATCCTATGATTATAACGTTTCATGCTTTTAAAAATTGAGAAGATCAGGTGTAATGTCTACCCGTCCTGTTGTGACACACATATATAGATGGTGTATTGTAAAGAGAAACAATGCAGCTTTTCTGTCACAAAGGATTTTGAGCTGATCAGTTTTCAAGTGCAGATAGCTCAATTTTGTCATGTCTGATTTTGTAATGCCATATTATATATGACACTGGAGCATAGAAGATTCTAGTAATCTGACATATCTGTATTTAAACTATATACAGAATTGCAAACTGGTAGGAGTTCAGCATATCACAGTAGGAAGAAGCTAGCTTGCAGATCAAGTATATAATGTGCTAATCATATGCGTTGCTAAAATGTTGCCTGGGCGAAAGAGGATTTCGTACAATTGTGTGCAACAACAACAAGGGATGGTGGATCCTATGAGGTCAGTGTCAGTTGATGTTTGTAACGTTTCTAAAACATAAGTACTGAAAGATTTATTTTTGATTTTCTACCGCACATGGGCACTCAAAAATGACAAGAAGATGTTGTGGGTAAAAAGTTTGCAGACAAACTTGAAAGAGTAGAAAAATAGGAATGAGAAGAATCAAAATACATTTGTACCTATAACTCTGAGACCACTGGTCTGGAAGTACGAACTTCGGCATCTTGGTGAGGCATCAACCGCTGAGGTCTGAAAAATTGTCAGTCGTACCTACAAAATAGAAATATTCTGACTTGTGATGAAGTAGACTGCTTTCTATACACCTGTGATTTTAGCGACAGAAGGGCTCGGTTACTGTGTGGGGAAAGGTAAAATTACCTCCAGCAAGAGTAATTCGAGAGAACGCTATGGTCGTGTACAGTACATGTTTTCAATCTTGATTCAGCAGACTTGAATGCATTGCAAGAAACGCACTGTGTGATTGTCGAATACACACGCAAGTAGGTGTTGAATGAATGCCACAGTACAGGAATTCCGGATGAAGGACTTCAGTATTTTTGTGCATTTAGGAAGTATATTATAGCATTACAGTTAGCTAACAACGATGCTGTGTACGTGTATATCGTACATCGAAAAAGGGTCTCAATTTTTGGTGTATCGGAAGATTGCTAAATGCTACGGTAAACCGTTTTCCATAATCATATAGAATACTAGTAGTTGTGATGGTGTTTAACAAATAAACAAGGCTTGCGTTTTGTTTTCCACATTCAGTGAACAGATCGTTTGGACTACAGAACCACAAGTGAGCGCCCAAGGCACACAGTCTAAACACTTCAGACAAAAACAGAGCGTTCAGACAAAAATGTTGTGAATGTAGGAAGTTCAGGCGCTAAGTTTTGTCTGGCCTTTTTGTGTGGCGCATTGAAGAACAGGTTTGAGAGACACATCCGGAAATACCATGATACCAGAGATAGAAACAGTATCTTCTATATGATAAATACCATCCAAAATAATACATACATTCAGAAAACAAGTTTTGGGAAGCTTTTGTGAATTTTACGCCTCTTTAGGTAACTTGCACACGGACTAGCAAATTGTACGGTTACCGTGAAAGGGTAGTACCCAAATTGACTGTCAATTGTCTTTTGTTCTATGGGTGAACTGGGGTCACCAAAATGGTGTCAAAAGATTCATCAAACCTCTATCAACAGAAACAAGAGAGGGTACTTCCGTAGGGGGTGCTGACGAAATGCAAATGACTCAGCTCTGGACGAAAACAAAATACTCAGGCCAGTCTACTGTACTCTACTCTACTCAGAAGTTCTCTTACAAATTTTCACGTCTTTCCTGTTTTGAATTTACACACAGAATACCTTTGCCTAATTTGCTATTTGTGAGGAAAGACAAAAAGATTCCTTAATCGAGATCAGAAAAACAAAACAAAAACAGAGTTAGATTTGAGTGGCTGTGTTAAAACGTTTGACAGAGCGATGGAAAGCCTGAGAGTTGTCCTTGAATCTTGAAGTGTAGCTTTCTCTCGCTAAATCTACTCTCTTACCTCTAGATTACGAGTCATCAAACTTAAAATGAGTTCCATAGAATTCAGACCTAAGCTCGTGTACAATCGCACACCTAACATGTACAATCGTGCACCAGTTCTCGTGTAGAAAAAGATAAATCGATAGACTGAGGCCCTCAACAAAATGGCGGGCTACTACTCTACTAAATAACTCGCACATGCCATTCAAACGCGGTCAATTTTACCCAAGGATGTTCGCAGTCCGGTGCCCGTTCTTTTGTTTTATTCTGAATAAATTAATGGTTTGATATGCCGAGGATTTTACTAATCTATTTTATCCACAGTTCTATCACAAATGGATGATGCATGGTTGGTTTTAAGTCTCTCACTTTTTACTTCGTTAGATGAAAAGACAATGTCCCTTCTCACTCGGTTACTTCTATTTTGTATATAACGCATTTGTACTTTTATAGCGAGAAAATCCTCAAGTCATCATTGTAATTCTGAGAGAGAAAAGGGTAAATGCGTAATTAATACATAATAGATGTAGAAATATGTCAGAATTTTTTTTCAAAATTAGAAAAAAATGTAGACAATTGTAGGACACAATTTTCCTTTCCAACAATTTATCAAACCATCCAGATAATAAAACACACTAGATACAACACTCGTGAATTTTATACAGTCATAAAACTTTACTTCCAGTTTACAGAGGATAAGAAAAAAAGATAAACAGATGCAAAACATCCTGTGACCCTTCAACTCTGCTGGCATGCCCTGAGCCATAGCTTTACATAGGCCGAAGTTGATACAATCACTATATACAGTGAAGCCTTGGCCAGAGTATGTAGGGATGGTGCCCCACAATGACCATGCGACAGTATGTATATACGTATATTTTCCGTCTAGTTATACGATTGTATATTCTGAGTCGGTTATACGAGTGTTTATGGACGATAAATACGTGGCGGGTCTCTGGTTACTTGTAAATGTTGTGATCGTAGCAGTAGCTTGGGCTGACCGGCTCGCTCGCATTCGGGCGGCCGGACTCAATCGCACTGACCCCCGTGCGATCGCCATTCCCTGTCCGCTCTCCTCCAATATTGGCGGGGAAAGACGTAAAAATCCACGCTTTTCGCCCCAAAATAATGTGTGATATGACTCGTGAACGACTCGATGAGTAAAATTTGGCGTATTTATAGGATATTTGCCTGTTTTCTCATTCAGAAATGACACTGTATGTTTCGTTATCGTATTCCGCCATGTTTACGAAACCGGCTATTGTAGGCATGAGGACCTCTTGTTATGTTAGCAGGTTTTTTACTTTTTCGTTGCCACTTACCATGTAAATCTCTCGTTAAAAATGCCCCAAATGATGGGGGATGTTATTTGCTAGTTTTGGCACATTTTATCATCTCATATTTTGGTGAAAAATTAATATTTTGGACAAACCTGACACGGATGGCGAAACAAAATGACCTGTGAAATTATAGAGTAGCCAAAATCTTTGGACATAGTTGACCACGTCAGTACCCAATACCACGTTTCCAAGCAGTTCCTCCCCCATCATTTCAAATTGCTGAAGACTTTATGATTTTTCTTACAAAATTCACGTAAAATTGCCGTTGTTGCGGAAAGTTCGGTAGCGGTGCGCTGCGGCCTGTGATTGGTTGAAGGCCTTGATCGGTAAGTTGATTGACGTGAGTGCAGCACGACCTGGGTGAGCGTGCGTGAGGAAGCAAAAACCCACCCACTAAGCTTTACCACTACTGGACGCTACAAACCGGCCCGGCCATGCTAGAACTTGGGCCACACACCGCTGCCGAGGCCGCGAGAAAGAGCTGAGATAAATCTCAGCGAGGGTAGGTCTCCAAACCTTTTCCCTGAGAGCCGCTGTAGGGAGTCCGTGAGTCATGTCGGACGAGAGCGAGCGCGCTGGTCGGACATGTTCCTTCAGGGGAAAGAAGGGGAGGGAGGGTCGAGTAAAATGTTATGTAGTGGGTCGACTTTTATCTCGTTATTTTGTACTCTTCTTAACCCCCACAAATGACAACTGACACATCTAGTTGAAGGGTTGAAACACTTGGTTAGGTCAGAAATTAGCCGGCTTGACAGGGGAATCTATGGAGGAAGGAAAAGGGGGGATTTATAGGGTAGTGTGTTGTAGTGTTGTGTGTGTTCCAAACGTGCGTAAGCACGGTTTGGTCGTCCGACTCAGGGCACGGTTTTGAGCTGACATCGTTCCTCTCCTCACCCACAGGCCGGCATCCACGGCTCGATGCTCAGGGAGGGTCGGGGGCTCAGACAAGGAGCTGGAGACCGTCAGCGGCAGCACCAACACAGAAGCCATCTGGAGCGGGTTTCAGATCGGGACGGGAAGCCCCGAGCTACAACAGCAGCCGTGCAGCGAAGAAGGGCGAAGCTGGACCCCGAACGTGCAACTCCAATCCCCATGGTGGATCCCGCAAGAGGCCGCGCTAACGTCAGCGTACATGGCCATGGCGTCCTTCTCCGACCATCTTGGCGAGCAGCTGTGGTGCGGCGTGTGCCTGGGTCGCTACACCGACCCCAAGGTGCTGCCGTGCCTCCACACCTTCTGCCGGCCGTGCCTGGAGCAGGTCCACGAGCGGGACGGCCGCCTGCGCTGCCCGACTTGCCAACAAGACGTGCCGCTCGCCGATTCGGGCGTCGACGGCTTGCCGTCCAACTTCTTCATTAACAACATCCTCGACGTGGTGACATCACAGGAAGAAGACGTGGAAAATGGACTCGGGGAAGACTCCAGCGTTAGCAGTCGCGGGAACGGGATTTCGGGGGTGGCGGCGGCAGGCTTGTCGCTGCACGGCGGCGGACGGCAAAGATGTAACTCGTGCGAGGACGGCTCCCTCGCCACGTCCCGCTGCCGAGACTGCAACGAGTACCTCTGTGACAACTGTGTACTGGCCCACCATCGCGTCAGGCTGACCAAAGACCATTTTATCTTACGACTCCAGCCTGACGGAGGCACCCGCCCGGCGCCCGGCCTGGTCGGCCCGCCCATGTCTGTCCAGGTAGCCGCTGAGCGCGTGGCCTGCTTCTGCGCCGTCCACGAGAGCGAGATAGTGCGTCTCTTCTGCGACACATGCCGCCTGCCGATCTGCAGAGAGTGCACCATGTCCCTGCACCAGGGACACAGCTTCGTGTACCTGCAGGACGCCGTGCAGGACGCCAAGGCCGTGACTTCCCAGCTCCTCTCGGACGCACGACAAGGCATCCAGGCTCTGGAACGGTCCTTGAAGGACACCCAGGCTATGGCGGAGCGGGTCGAGATGCAGACACAGTCAGTGTCCACAGAGGTACGGGCCACCACTCGCCGCTACATGGCAGCCATAGAGGAGAGAGAGCGGGATCTTCTGCGGAGAGTGGAGAAAATCAGGCAAGTGAAGGGCAAAACACTGCATGTGCAAATTGAGGAACTCAGGGCAGGGCTGGCCAAGCTTAGCCAAACTGTGAACTTTGTGGAAACTGCATTAGAAACGGGTAGTGATGTTGATGTTCTGAAAACCAAAGATGAGATGGTGTCCCAGATGAGAGAGCTTAGAGCCTTAAGAGGGCACCTCCAGCCTCACGAAGACGATTCGATCGTGTTCACCCCGCCGGACGCTGCCTTACACACAGCTGTTTCAAACCTGGGCATCGTCTCGAGCAGCGCCTATGCTGCGCAGTCAGTCGCGAACGGAGACGGACTTAAACGTGCACTTAAAGGAAAGACAGCACAGTTCATAATTCATGCCAAAGATCACCAGGGCGAAGCCCGATGCACCGGAGGCGACCCAGTCTCCGTCATAATCCAGTCTCCCGAAGGGGGACTGTACCGAGCAGAAGTCATAGACAGACAGAACGGCACCTATGCCGTCAACTATCGCGGTCAAACCGAGGGACAGCACACCATATCTGTGACCATCCGTGGCAAGCACATCCAAGAGAGTCCATTCAAAGTGCAGGTGAAAACCGGGCGCAACTACAGTACTGTGGGACAGATGCTGCTGAAGATAGGGGTGGAGGGAGAGGGGGAAGGCCAGTTGTGTCGCCCGTGGGGCATCTGCTGCGACAAAGATGGCAACTACATAGTAGCTGACCGCAGCAATAATCGTATACAGGTCTTCAACCACAGCGGGACATTCCTTCACAAGTTTGGGTCTGCAGGGTCACGGAATGGCCAGTTCGATCGACCAGCGGGGGTGGCTGTCGACAATCAGGGGCGAATCATCGTGGCGGACAAGGACAACCACCGCATTCAGATCTTCAGCTTCCACGGCGACTTCATGCTGAAATTCGGCGAGAAGGGCAGCAAAAATGGACAGTTTAACTATCCATGGGACGTCGCCGTCAACTCGGAGGGGAAGATCCTAGTGTCAGACACACGAAATCACCGCGTCCAGCTCTTCCACGCGGACGGCTCCTTCTACAACAAGTACGGGTTCGAGGGCGCCCTCTGGAAGCATTTCGATTCGCCGCGCGGTGTCGCATTCAATCGCGAAGGCCACATGGTGGTCACGGACTTCAACAACCATCGCCTTCTTGTCATACATCCCGATTTCCAGTCCGCTAGATTCCTAGGCAGCGAGGGCACTGGCAACGGACAATTCCTGCGCCCCCAGGGCGTGGCCGTCGACCAGGAAGGGCACATCATCGTGGCCGACTCCCGCAACCATCGCATCCAAGTCTTCACACCCAACGGCAACTTCCTGTACAAGTTCGGGATGCCGGGAACCGGACCGGGGTGCGTGGACCGACCGTCGGGCATTTGCGTGACTCCCGACGGACTCATCGCAGTCGTGGACTTCGGTAATAACCGTGTACAAGTCTTCTAAAGGACTGCCAGGCTGTTCACAGCCACAAGCCTCCTCAAAAGGAGTTCAAGTCTCAGGGTGGTACTATTCATAAAAAGGCAAGCCTTCTCTAAGTTGTTTGTTTCTTATATATTTTTTTTCTGTAAGAAGAACTAGCTGTAAATGTAGTGTTACTAAGTAAAAATTATGGGTGATTATGATATAAGATGAGCACAGAAATTGCTGGTCTTGCGCTGCTGCTACCACGTTGTGTAACAACCATTGAGTGCATTTGGCCAAGCTTGCATCTATCCATCCTCCAAAAGATACAACAACCACACCCCTTGAAGAATTCCATGCAGCGATAGCGTTTCATTCCTCCTTGTTGTAAGATTCTAATCTCTGTGCCAAAAGTAGACAGAATCAAAACATTACTCGGATATCCATCCTAGTGACCATTCATTACGCAGCAATATTATCGCCAAAGTCTATGTAAATTTAATGAACTAACGCTAGATACTTACAATTCTGAATTGTACCAAATGTATGCTTGACCTTTTGTTTCCGATTTGCCTTGCAAGGTTTGGTTATTTTGCACATTATGACTACCTCAGAAAAACAGTTTTATTTTCCAAAGACCTCAGTGTAATAATAAATAGCTTAAAAACCATATCCATTTGCAAGGCCGGCCAGATAAAAAATACCAGAAACCAAAGATGCAAATGCTTGTTATGATAGAAAAATGACAAACTGATGATGTAGACTGGATTTTTTTGTTCTACTCTGTAGGAAGCTTGATGCTGCATCCACACATCTACCTCATATAAATCAACATTCATATACCGAGTCATAGAAAATATCACCCATAATGTTTACTCATGACTGGTGTGTAGTATTGTAGCATGTTTAGGCCTTATTGTAGTGTTAGAAAGAAGCCAGTCCGTTTATTGTGAGAAGCAAAGTAATAATTTTTTTGTATCCTTACAGGCTTTGTCAATATGTGATAGGAAAATTCCTCTACTTCTAGTAGACCTAATAGGCCTGCATTTTCGTTGCCAAGATGGAAATGCAGATTTTTATGGGTTCTGACTTTACTTCCATTTTATATTGTCGGAAGCTGGGAACTAATTTTATAATTGTTCAGCAGTTCTTAATCCATTTGCAGAAGTACAAGAATATGGTCAAACCGCAGAGCTCTATTGGAGAGTATATATTTGAGAGCATTGAAACGGTCAAAGACCTTACATGTTCGCACAGTGCTAAAGCAGAGGTACCAAAAAGTTAATTTTTAGGGCTTGTAAGGGCCTTTCCACTTCAAAAAGTGGTCCGAGAAGTGTTGTATGTTTAACATGTCATAGACGTCGTCTCACTGTGTGCACCAGAAAACTCTGGATCTATCCCAAACTTGGAAAAAAGGAATCAATGTTCTTGTGTCCTGTCCGTTCTGTAACTGTGAAGTCAGTCGAAAATCCTCTCCGCTTGAAACCAAAGATTGTCGCAAGCTTTAAAAAAAAACGTGTGAAGTTCAAACATGATGTCAACACTTTCCTAGAACCTGCTGTGCTGTTTAATTTGTAGGAGGTAACCTCGTTGTTCAATGTCTGTTTATTTTCTGAGATTCAGGCGAAAAGCTAGGGCACAACTACGTCTTGCTAATGGAGGTGCTGGGATAGTACTAATGCTGAGAACTATACCTGTGGTAGACACTGTGAGTCTATCTCTGCAATGTGTTTTCAATAGGAAAGAAAAGAGTAATGTTCTTGGCATACAGAGAGTATGACAGAAGTTGTGGCAAAAGCTCAGGCTAATGAATTGTTGTAGAACGTCTGTAGTGATCTGCTATGTACGAGCTTAGCTTAGTCTATCCTGAATGAGAGTACTGATTTCTTCTCGCTATGCAATCATTCAATCAATGTGGAATTAAAACCATTTCTGTTTGTGATTTGCCAGAAAAGATCTGTGTGTGTTGCAGTCCTCTTTGCTTCGACCACCTTTCTCTCTAGTCCCCTAGTGTGTTGAGGTCTTTTTCTTTTGCAAGGAAAAACGTTTAGGGACCAAACTTGTGGTATAAGTAGGTCAAGAAAAGGGGTTTCTCTGTTCAGATTGGCTTGTCATGTTGTGTAAAAGCAGAAGGATCTAAATAATGTGGTGTGTCTGAAAGTAGGTCACAAAACAAGCCATATTAGGCATGGCCACGTTGCTCTGTTTTTGTGTGGCCAGGTTTTTTTTCCGGTCAGTGTTTTCATCCAAAAGCATGCCTTATTCAAACTTCTTTCAGCTTATGCCATTTTTGTGTTCTTTCTTGATTGGAAGAAAATAAGTACCACAGCAATGTGTGTACATTGTAAAGTTAGCAGCCCAAATGTAGTTTGAATGCAGTTACCCCAACACTGTATTTATACGCAATCCTTTTACGCTCAATTTATAAGACAGTTCGCAAGTGGCTTTCATAGCTATTTTACCTTATGTTGTGAACAAATGTTTGCATCACATGCTTTTGTTTACAATGTAAAAAGTCTTAAGCATCGAACATGAGAAGAAACATCAAGCTTTGATTTTTTCAGAGGGATAAAGACAAAGAGCTGTTGGTTTTTCTTCTGTTTTTTTTTTGTGTAAAATGTTCCCGTTGAGATTAGGATTTAAATCCAAGGCAGGAGTTGCGTAATTTGACGTGTTGTGTGTGAACAGGTCAGGCCTGTTTACTTAATAGCGTAACCTTGGCGGGCTTCAGGCGGCATGCCTCCCTTGTCCACCATTGTCATGCGTCCGGAACCCGGTCACTGCCAGGGCAGCGCTAGCGTCTCTCACATTAGCATCCTCACAAAACAGCCATTGAAAAGGTGGGGGGAACATTGACTGTACCCCACCCCGGGTAGCTATGCCCCAACCTTGTCCGCGCACGAGTTGTTAATTTATGTTTTCACACACAAGAGACCTTGACCAATTCTCGAGCCTCGAAGGTCACTCTGAGTAGTTTTTGGGAGGGGTTTCGCTTCAAGAGTGGACAAAAGAAAAGATGGTTTACCAAGCCCTCCTTGCCCCTGTATGAATGCACGAGGGCTGGGCCTATAGTGTTCACATTGGCTTTCAATAGCAGTCCATAGCTGCCCTGCCTTCCGTTCGGAACACTGTACTTGACCGAGGTTAACCTTTAGATGTAGGGTGTAATCATTATCGCATTGTTTGTTTTGAGACAAAGTAACAAGTCCCCCAATAACCCCAACTGACCCCCTCAATGCTGCGTGGAAGAAACACCACCTAACCATGTCTTCTACCCGCTTCCCAACAGAAATAGAAGAGCTAATTCAGTATGCGGCAAACTGTTTGCAAGTATGTCCGGTACACACTGCCCATAATGGCCGTAACCCGACTAGGCCCCCAAAATACTGCATACAATACTCATCATTTCCCCATCATTTAGTTCAAAGGGAATTTTGTTTGCCCGAGGGCAAATGTCCAGAAACAGGTCCATATAAGCTGATATGATGATGAATATAGCAGAGATAGGTTCTGGTGTAGTATGTATAACATGACCATCTACACTAGTTTCAGCTCCTGGTTTGCTACCAGTTTTGAAAGATGTTTCCTAACGCTTCCCACCAGAGAGGCTCCCAATTCCTGTTTGGTAGACAACTGAAGGGAACCAGATGTGTTCGGATTAGGAAGCCCCCCAACAATAAGGCCTGCATTCCCTGGAATTTCTATTTGCATCCCCTCTTTTCCAAACATGTGGAAGAAGGGAAGATGATGACCAAAAACAACAGACAACTTTTAACCCAATGTTGTGAACATTATGAACAAATTCGGGATACATTTGTGTTGAGTTACATGTGTAGTATAAAAATCAGTATGTTAGAAATTCCTGTGAATTCCTAAAATTTGTCTAGAAATTTGTTAACTCAAAGTGTTAATAGTCTTGATCCCAAACAGTCCTGATCACATGCTACTTTTAGTCCTCTATTTTACTTTACTAATTTTATAGTATACAAAGTCGCATTCAGATGTCTTTCCCATTGTTTTGAAAGGTCCATGTTAACTTTCTGTAGCAAGGAAAATTTGCATTTGTTATTTCATGGGTATAATTATAATGGTGCTAATCTTATGGTAAAAAAACAGGGTAAAACAACTTGACTTTGTGGATTTTGCCACTGTTTTTGTCAAGCAATCTACAGTGTAAACATAATCATGAAAATGTGGCAATGTTTACTTGGTGCCAAGTTTGCAAGGTGCAGGATATCATGACCATTGTTTGTTTTTAGTGATGTAATTTTTTACCTAAACAAAATTCAAAAATAATGTACGGACAATATTAAATGATACAGTTGTTTGGATAATGAAGAGATAAGAAGTGGAAAATTTGGAAGATTATAGGCAGTTCAGTACTTGCAACCATTGAAGTTGGAAGGGTCTTGAAAACTTATATTTCATCTTTTGTGTCCTCATATTATTGGAGCAGAACAATCTTTTTCTTACCACGGTACCTTTCAAATAACGTCTTTATAGGTGTTCCCTAAAGAAAATCACGCCAAAGATCAAGATCATGTTGCTAAATATTTGTTGGTGAGACTTGATAGATGCAGTTTTTTTTAAATTTGATATCTGCTTTGATTTCAGCCCATTTTTTTGGTAGTAAAACTCTGTTTCTATTGGTTTTCGGAACTGCGTAGGGCCTTTGTACTATGGCCATGTAGTATTCGGTATTCTTGACTTTTGTTGAATGTTCACAAATCAGTATCATATGGGGTTCCACAGATGGATATCTGTATCCTTATAGCATCACATCACAGGCACATGGATGCCAGTGGTAGGATTGAATTTTGGAATGTTGAAGTCTTTTCACGTTACCAAGATTTAAACTTGAATCTGAGAAAGATATGGCTGTCCCAGAATAGTGAATTGGAAGTCCTGGAGAACAACTAGTCAGGGCTTGAAATCAAGTTGAAATAGTGGATGCATTTGCTGTGACCTTAGTGCAGGTAAAAATGGAGCAGTGCAGGTATTTTTGATGTCTACCTGCACCTTACCTGCACTGGTTCATGTACTGGGTTTACATGTAGTTGTATGTTGAGTTTTATTTATTTTTTATTAGCACCTATTAGTATTAAGTACAAAAGAAATAGTAGCAATAGTTTTAGAACAGCTTTTAGTATGCTCCAGTCTATACCTGCATGGTGCAGGTAAAATTTGTGTGGTGCAGGTAATTTTGAATGTTAGCTGCACCAGTGCAGGTATGCAGAAAAAGGGATTTTGATGGAGCCCTGACTAGCTCATCATTGGTTACCATTGTTGATGTGGTTGTATGTTAAGCACTTCAAAATGATCCTTTGTTGAGGTGAACCTCTTTGGGTGTTTACCCATAGATGTGTCTTCTATTTATTGTAAGTGACATGACATGTTTTCTGCTGTTTACATGTCATTAGTATATTGTATGTCAACGATTTAGTTTTTAACTGGAATTGTTTGATACAAAAGTACTGGCGTACATGTACAAAAGTGTGCTTGTCTTTCCCAAAAGTAGTTTTGTACAATGAAATTTTGGGAGAGAACTTTTATATTGCTGAGAAGATCCAGTAGTTGAGAAAAATGCAGTTATTGTTGAGAAAATTATTTTCAGTCCAACCTTAAATTTTAAAAAGAGGAATATTTGGTGCACACTTAAAATGATTTTCTTTACTTTTCACTGAAAATTTCAGTGAAATCAATTTCATTATTGTTTGGGCAGGATTCAAAAAGTATTAAATAATGTAATTCAACAAGAAACTAGGTCACTGCTATTATCTTGGTCTCTTACAATTGCCCTGATTTTGCTTTTTTTCTCAGTCATAGAGATTTAGTATATGTGGCAAAGCTGAACCACTAGTTCTAGTAACTGTTAAATGTTAGCCTGGCTACTATCTTTGTATGACAGCAAGCATACTAAACTAAAATACTGAAAATGATATAACAATACAATACTAGTAACAAGCCAGGAAAAAGTCCTTTTTTGCCGAATTTCCCTGATTCAAGACAAAACATCAACTAACTCTTGATGTTTTGTCTGTCAGAATATTAGCAGAAATCAAGTTGTTTTGCTTAGGTTTACCAGTATCAATCATTGCCATTCAGAGCTGATAGTTGGCTTCAAGTTCTCCATTTATTACTCTTGTGTGAGATTGTGTTTAGTTTGGTGTTTGATTCTTGAGTTACATATGATTCTTGTGGAATGGATTTCTGTATTCTCAGCACATGATGGTATTGATACAGCCATATTTTCTCGAACGAACCAATGTTTTAGCTTGACCCACATTTTTAAGACATATTCCCCTCAACCTAAGATATTCTATTAAAACTGAAGGAAGCAAATCTCATATCAGGACACCAGACCAAACGTCCTCAAATTCTCACTGTCAAATGTATAGAATATCGTAACTTGTAAGCTGTTGACTTGTCTTTGATCCATGGTACTTTATTTTTGTTCTCTTGTCGAGTGAATATTCGTACGGTAGTAGGGCTGACAATACAATCTGCAATGGCGAGGCTGCTAAATGATGCTGCGGAGTGTTATACCAAGGTAGCTCAAGTATCTGCCTTATGCCTTTTAGACAGAATGTCTATTCAGAAACCATAATGTACCTCACAGCAATTCAGTGAGTTTCAGAACAGGTGTTGACAGTTGCCTCTGCTTGGAGAGTACATTTTTTGATCGCTTACAAAGCGAACCAGAGAAAAGGAGAAACAAGAGCTGGATCAACTTGAATGGCAGACCCTTACATGTAGCTACACATGGTGTTCTATTGTGCATTGTTTGCCCCAGTCAATGTTTTGGCATTTGAAAAAAAAACGAAGAATAAAGTCTTAGAGAGGTTTGAGAAATATTTGAACATGAATTATTATAACTGGATTTTGGTCAGTGTCTTGGTGTGTAGGGTATCAGAAGTGGTACAAGTATCTTGTAGGTGTGTTATACTTGTATGT